TGTTTTTATTAATTAGTACTATTGTTTGTCCTGTACAGCACTTTGGTGCAGTTTTATACCTGTTTTTAAAGTGCTATATAAATAAATTTGACATTGACATTGACAAGTTTATGACATGAAATAAACTGATTTCATTTTTTAATCATTTAGATCCTTTGGATCAGTCTGGATTACCCATTAGAATTAAGTTTGATGATGATGGTGAGTTTGAACCACAACCACACTTGATCTCCATTTGAGGCCTTTTCTTGTCTTTATTTGAAGGTGCAGTGTGTGTCTGATGATGACCTTCTCATTTCAGCTGAGGAGACCTTCCTGTGCTCCGTCATAAACGACACCAGCAGCTCCACTGTACATTTCAAGCTGCTGCCTGCATACATCCTGTATGCTGCGAGTCGCTTTGCCCTGCAGCGCCACAACGGCAGTGGCTCTCCACCTTCCCCAAACACACACCCTGTAACGTCTATCACAAACAAAATGGCTGCCATGATTGGGAAGGTCATTCAGGCAAGTGCATAATAACTAACATGGCATTTGATAGCTTAGTTTGCAAGCCATGTTGTGTTTGGTTAGTTTATAAATCTTAGTCATTGCAGTGTGTTAAACATAAATATCATTGCCTATAATTAAAAAAATATTTTCAAGTTTTCATTTACTATAACTGAAACTAATCTGCTCTACACCTGACTCTCCAGAGGCAGCAGGCCATCGCTGGAGCTCTTTCCTTCTGGATGGCCAATTCATCTGAGCTGCTGAACTTTCTGAAGCATGACAAAGACCTCAGTCAGTTCACAAAGCAAAGTCAGCTGGATCTGTCCCATCAGGTGCAAAATGCCTACAGGTAAACACAGACAAATACGGACCTCTGACTCATCATCCTTCCTTTACTGGGTGCTTGTTTTCTTCTCTATAGAAACAAAATACCTGCAGACTGGTCAGTTTTAGAATTGGACTTCATTAGAATTACAATTACTAAAATCTAGCATATTATGACATCATATTACTAAAAGAAGAGAGTCATTCTACGAGCAATATATACACACTTGTTCTTGAAAGTTTACATATCCTTCCTTTAAATACACAAAAAATCTGCTGCTAGTAAAATACATGGAATTGACAAAAGTAATAACAAATAAAATTATATATTTATATATATATATATATATATATATATATATATATATATATATA